TCTTTATCCGGTCGAAATTTTATTGTTTGGAATCGGTGGAAAAGTACTCTGAAGGCAAGATCCATAAGACTACTTTATTCATTAGGGGAGATACTCGAATTAGTCGCACGGAGTTTGTTTACGATAAACGAGCACGCGATTGCAAATGCTAGTATAGAATAATGTACGTGATTTAAATATCCTATGAAACTTAAGAGTCTACAGAAACTGGCGGCGTCACGCAACGTATCAACAAATCGTGACCTCTTCATTAGCATGCACTTTGACACTATGCATACAGGTGTCTGACTATAAAACCTCGGTTGCTGCTAAAAAAATTTGATTTAAGCAATAGACAAAGGTTAAAAGTCAACTAGTGAAATCATTTATTTACGGTATATATATATTAAAGTGAGAGCGTCGAACGCACTCTCATAATCTCTGATTACTACTAGTTCAGACGTTATTTGAAAAACCAACCAAAAAAACATCCGGACTTCGAGACTTTTTTAACGTTGGATAAAATTGAGACTCCAAGACAACTTTATCTAAAATCGAGACTGCGAGACGCACATAACCGCTAAAAACCGAAACTGCTTGACCCATGAAATTCGATGAAACTTTTGCGAGACCCACGGTTATTGAAGGACCATTCGCCACCCCTAGTGGCTCATGTCTTCTTTCAACAACCCGCAAAATGTCCTGCCATTGTTTTCGCGTCCCCGTCGATCGTTTTTCAGGCTTTTCCTCGTTTTTAATTTCCTGGTTTTTTTCCTCGTTTTGAGGCCCAATTACGCATATACGCGTAATTAATGGTCGTGCTCTTTGTACCACTTGTGGCGTCATCAATTTAAATGTCTTCAGATATTCTCGATAAGCAGATGGTAGAACTAGGCTAGGCCTTTCCGTACAATGGTCAGGTTTCGATATCGACGACATTCTGACGTCGCAAATCGAAAAACGTTATCAGTTTTGGTGCAGAAACGGTGGTAAAATGGTCCACTATGCCTATGATTGATTCAGGTCCATTTCTAGGCTTTGCCCGTAATTAACATCCAACTTTTCACGGCAGCCAGAAAGAACATGCAACGCAAAAATCTCGCCTTTTGCTAAAAAAGGCTTTCTTAGCAAAACTTAGCCTTATTTAGCGTCATGGCAGCCAAAAAACCTGAATAAACGATTTAAAACGGTATTTTGTGGCGAAAATTTCGTATTCAAAGGATTCATAATTTGATTCTGTTTGAGCTCTCTTAAAATGTTTCATGCGGACTTATTGTATTCTGCGAAACCAAATGGAGTGAGTTACAGAAAGAAACTCAGAATTCTCCCAGTTTGCCAATAGCTGGTGGCTTAAAATTGAACACACATGTAAAATGTAACGTAAAATCTAGTGACAAGAATACTCACTGCGCTAAAATTTTCTCCTTGAAGGTCTTCCCTTAAAGTGCTCTTCCGAGATAGTCCAAAACCTCTCAACAGCTTAGTTCCTTGTGGAGAACTGAATGTTGTTTGTTCCTTTACCTTGATTTAAGTAGGCCTAATGATAAAATTTTTGAATACGAAATTGACAGCTGTAAATTTGAAAAGTCAAATTATTAAAGCTCAAGTTGCAACTGCCAATACCTGCCGGCACGTCTAGANAGTACTGTTACATTTCAAGCTAAACTTAAGAAACTTAAGACTCTCCAGAATTAATGTCAAGTCTTACAAGAAGTCTTGCATTCCTAACGTCAATTTTAAGTTTAATGTTGTGTGTGAAAATTACGCTCAAAGACTACAGTTGTAAACAAAAGATGACCAAAAATGTGGGGAAGCTTAAGTAGGGTCGAACAGGCAAATTTGTCATCTCTTTTTAGGGGAGTTAATAGCCTTTTAGTTCAGAAATGTTTTTAGTGAAAATTGAGCTTTCAAACTAAAAGGACAAAGTATGACGATTTAAAGAAAACTTAAATACTGCGAAAACTGATATTTTTACGCTAAAGTAACATCTCAAGCGAACATTAAAAATACGCGCAAATTGGTATCCAAATAATGCTTGATTATCGTTTATTCAATTGTCTATAAGCTAAAAGCTTGTTCGAACACAAACGTGCAAACGGAAGATAAAAGAAGGCCGTGAATTAGAATTAGCAAAACCTTTCATTCAGTAGAATTTTAAAAAAGCTATAAAATTGTCTTTTTAAGTTTTACAAAGACGACTTACTAAATTCCTTGATGGACGATTTGTTTTTATTCCCCAAAATGGTTTTCAACCAACTTGTTGCTAAGGTTAACGTTCTTATTTTCGAAACCCAATTTCTTAAAAATTTCCGATGTATTACAAAGAGCCAAGTCGTTTGTTAGTTGAAAAGTGGTTATTTCAGGTGACCAGTTATGATACATATACATAATAAGCAATCGCTATAAACAGTAGCCTTTTGTAGATCTATGTAAATATTCAACTTAGGTTTTCAAATAGCAGTTTTTATTTCAGTAATCAGTAAGGCTAATGTTGGTCCAGGAAAATTATGGTCAACGAACACAGTTGTTAACAAAAGGCTTTGATGTAGGGTGCACTACGGAAGT